TGAGATTGAAATGAATTTATACCTTTCTTTCTACGAACTAATTCCTTCTTCCTGCATTATATCTTTACATGTAACCTTTTCTTTTTATAGATTACTACAATTGAATTAACTACTTCTATGAATTCGGTATTCATCTTCTTGTGCTAATGAGTGAAGTGTGGCAACTTGGACCGATGCATATATGTGCTTGGTCCTACGTTGTTGCTACCTTGACGTGGTGGTCGGGCTTGCCTATCGTGATGAAGCAACCGAGCTATACTGACTGGAACAACCGTTCCTCAAGTTCCTACCATGTCAGACAGGTCGGTTGAAGAGCGGTAAGACTAAAAGCAACAAACCCAAGGTCCGAAGGCGAAGTCGTACTGCTGACTGTACAGAGGTGTGACAGCAGTAAGGTGTTTCCTTCAGACAACCAGCATGACAGCGATGCTGCCTTCCCACAAGGAGGGGTGGGGTTAGAAAAGGTCGACCCTAAAAATGCACACCTCACCTTACCTCACGGATTTCCGTCTCCGGCGGTAAGGTCCTTTGAAGAACGGAGCTAACACGTCGAAAACCTTCCACGAAAAGGCCGTGCGCGACCGGCCTCAAGCAGTTGTCCCTTGGGCACTGCGGTCACGCTCTCAGGTCACTGAGACCACCTCTAATCCAATTTCCTTTTCAGGTACCTCCAGAAGAACCCTTCCACGGTGTGGGCAACCGGGAAGTGATAACCGCCCTCATACCTCTAACAACACCCAAGACCACTGTATTCATAATCAACCTTCCTCTTCAATTCCTATTATTCCTCCTACATCGACTTTCAACCCTAAACTTCCTCCTTCGGCTTCCTCCTCAAGTGTCACCATAGCCAACGATTCTAGTGCTCAAAACTCTGTCCCAGGTCTACTGAAACCTCGCTCCAAACTACACATTGGAGCTTTCAACGTACGCACTCTATGTCAAATCGGTCAGCAGGCTTCCTTGGCTAAAACCCTAGAGTCTCTTTCCATTGATGTATGCTGTGTCTCTGAAACACGCATACAGGATCCCAGTGTGGTCATTCACTTGACCTCACCTCGGCAAAACGGAGAGCCAACGAGGTACACCCTTCGTGTATCTGGTGACCCGATGGCAAGTTCTCGTGGACTGGCAGGTGTAGGCATAGCACTAAGCATGAGGGCCGAACAAGCACTGCTAGAGTGGATCCCCGTCAACAGCCGTCTATGTGCTGTTCGGCTGAACGGCTACGTAAGAACTCGGAAGGATAGGGACACACGTCGTTGCCTTTTTGTCGTTTCTGTCTACGCTCCCACTGACTGCAGCTCAGATGAAGTGAAAGATGAATTTTACAGAAAGCTTTCTGAACTTCTTCAGAAAGCTAAACGCTCAGACATAGTACTCGTAGCAGGTGATTTTAATGCTCAGATAGGTAGCTTAAACCAAACAGAAAGGCATTAAGGTGGATATTTTAGTATTCCGATACAGCGAACAGATAATGGTGATCGTCTGCTGCAGCTATGCTCAGACAATCGTTTATTTTTAGCAAACACAAATTTTAAGCATAAGGAGAGACATCGTCTAACATGGCGACCCCCTACACCAAACCAACGATGGACTCAAATAGACCATATTGCCATCAGTCATCGTTGGAGAGGGTCGGTAGAAGATTGTCGCTCATTCTGGAGTACCTGCTTGGACTCCGACCATGCCCTAGTACGGGCACGCATCTGCTTGCGCCTCACTGGACGCAAAAAAGCCACATTAAAAAGACCCGTTAGAACTGAGTTGAGTAACGAGAAAACCAAAAGTAGGTTCCAGGAACAACTGAGGTCACACTTAGGTAGTTGTGAAGACGAGGCTGACCCAGATGTTGCTTGGAAGAGCATACAATCAGCTGTGGAAACAGCAGTGACATCTATTAGTGACTTAAACCACAGAGTTGCAAGGAACCAGTGGATTTCTTCAAGGTCTGTCACACTGATGGATTCTCGCAAACTCGTCCCATCAGGTTCTGAACATGATGAAGAGCGAAAACAAATCAGATCTAGGTTAAGAAAAAGTCTAAGGAACGACCGTGAGCAGTGGTGGGTAACGAAAGCAAAAGAGATGGAAAAGGCGGCGACTATAGGGAACACAAGACAGCTTTACAGACTAATAAAAGAAACTGGAATTAATAAGTCAAGTGTAAGTGAGATTATTTCGGAAAAAGATGATACTCTCATCTGCTCCCAGTCCAGACGCTTAGAACGATGGGCGGAACATTTTAGAGAACAGTTCAGCTGGCCTTCAGCTACTCTACAACTACCCTCCATTCCCAGACAATGTGAATGGAACATTGAAGTAGGTCCCCCAACTCTTGCTGAAGTTCAAAAGGCTATAGTTAATCTGAAACGAGGAAGGGCAGCTGGTCCAGATGGATTGGCTCCAGAGGTCTTTAAGGATGGTGGTCCACTTTTAGCGATTAGGTTGACTAATATTTTAGCTAAGATCTGGGAATTAGACTTTATCCCATCTGACTGGTCGCAATCACTCATCGTCCCAATATATAAGAAAGGGTCAAAATCATCCTGTGACAACCACAGAGGGATTAGTTTAACAAACATAGTATCTAAAATACTGGCCTCGATAATTATCAGACGCCTAACTAAGACTCGCGAACTACAAACTCGAGAGAACCAAGCTGGCTTTAGACCTGGTCGTGGCTGCATCGACCACATATTCACCATTCGTCAGGTTCTAGAACACAGGCATACCTATCGGCGTCCGACGATGGTGGTCTTTCTTGACTTAAAAGCAGCGTTTGACTCTGTAGACCGCGAGACTCTGTGGCAGTGTCTGTCATTGAAAGGCGTACCTCAGAAGTACATAAACCTTGTGAAGGCTCTTTACTCGAACACTACTAGTCGAGTCAGAGCTTATGGCGAACTGTCATCTACTTTTGCAACTTCAAGTGGTGTCCGTCAAGGCTGTCCACTTTCTCCATTTTTGTTTAACTTCATCATAGACCTATTGATGGAAATAACACTCTCGTCGACTGAATTCTCGGGTATTGATCTCCTTCCAGGAGGTCCACTTATCGACTTAGAATACGCAGATGATATAGTCCTGTTTGGTGAAGACGCTGACAAAATGCAGAGTCTTCTGGTAGCACTAAGCAACAATGCCAGAATGTTTGGGATGCGCTTCTCTCCCTCTAAATGCAAGTTGTTGCTTCAGGACTGGTGTGCGTCAACGCCTGAACTAAGGATAGGGAGTGAAGTAGTCGAACGCGTCGACAACTTCACTTATCTTGGAAGTCTGATCAGCCCTAATGGGTTGGTGTCTGACGAAATCTCAGCACGGATTCGAAAAGCTCGTTTGGCTTTTGCCAACTTACGTCACCTTTGGCGGAGGCGAGATATCCGTCTATCAATAAAAGGACGAGTATACTGCGCGGCAGTCCGTTCTGTCTTACTTTACGGCAGCGAAACATGGCCTTTAAGAGTAGAAGACACCCGTAAGCTACAAGTATTTGACCACAGATGCCTTAGAAATATTGCTGGCATCTGTTGGGATCACCGGGTAAGTAATAGTGAGGTTAGACGCAGGGTATTAGGGAATGATGGTAAATCAGTTGATGAGGTTATGAATCTTCATCGACTGAGATGGTTGGGCCACGTATTACGTATGCCTGAACACCGATTACCACGACGTGCAATGCTAACCGGTGTAGGGGTTGGTTGGAAGAAAGTTAGGGGCGGCCAAACCAAAACGTGGCATCAGTGCTTGAAGTCACTAACTTCTAGTCTGAGCCATGTTGGTAGATGCAGACTACTTGGTTGGGGTCCGCGTGACTATCGTAACCAATGGTTGGAGACTCTTGGTGACATGGCTCAGAATCGATCACAATAGCGTCGGTGTATACACTCCCTGTCTTCCCTTAAACTAAGAGATTAAATCACTTCATATCTTTCTTTCTACGAACTAATTCTTCCTTACTATACTATATCCTTATTGCAACCTTTGACCTAACCACTCCTATGAATCCGGTGTTCACCTTGTTGTGCTAATGAGGTATGGCAACCTGGACCGATGCACATATGTGCCTGGTCCTACGTTGTAGCTGACTGACTGACTGACTGACTTGGTCCTACGTTGTAGCTGGTTTACTGAATGCATGAGGTCAAACGAAATATGACACTGATCATTGTTTTTTATTTTTATACTTGAGAGAACAGGTGATCTAAATGTAGCGTCTTTAGTTGTTTCAGACTGATTATGTGGAATCGACTGACTACCACTGTTGCAAGAGTTTTGAGCTGCAACACAACAATTACTGAAAGTGATAGAGTTATTGTGAACAGATGCATTAGCAGACCTAAAATCTCAATTATTCCTAGGTTGGTCAAGTAATTTTTCTAACCGATCTTTCAACAATGGGATACAACATTCTGATTCTCTTTTGTTCTTGATTTGTTATCCAAGCGAATATCTCAGTATTAGAATACCAGGACCACTGGGACTGTTTGTCACAGAATGTGCATTATTCACAATCTGCTCTTTTAAAGACAGCGTTTACAAATGTGTCCGTGAGTTAGCTTCTATCGCTCAAAATGTTTGCATGCTATATCATCAGGACAAACATCATACCCATAGAGAATTTCATCTGGACGGAAATCAAGGCGGTTTAAGTTGTCTTTTAAACAGACAAGTTCTCCCAAATACTTATTTACAACAATATCGCGAGTGACCAGAGAAACGACTGATCTTTGGGAAATATAATTCGAAAAGGTTTATACGTTTATTACTGGATAGATCGCCATTGACTTATTTAATTACGTTTAATATTACTGGATAGTATTAAACCATAGTCGATAGCATTTATGTCATTACTATAAGCAGAACCTCATACTAAAACAAAACTACTGAGTTTTGCGTTAAAATATCTACACTGAAAAAATAAATACTGTACTTTACGAACCCAAGTTTACCAAAAATAAGGCATAGGATTTATTAAAATGAGAAATTTCAGAACTTACCATCGTGACTGAATCGTCCAAAAAGCCGATGAGTAATTCCGTCAATTTCATTAGTGGCTGGAATACGGTGGTCACCTCTACGCATTTTGCTGCCCAATGGAGCTGAACTTGCAGAGTGATGAGACAAAAACGACTGTGTAATATTATCAGAATATGGTCGTGGGGAAAAATCTAACGGCACTTCGAACTGTTCGTCATCAAAATCCGCATACGATTGCATATGAGGTGGCGGTGTTTCCATAGGTGCAGACTGTATCGGTGGCTGTTTACGGCGACGAGAACCAACACCTTGAGAAGAATTAGAAGGATTCCTGCTACGAGAAGCATTCATGCCAGCACATTGTCTTAACCTACATTTTTGACGCATTTTGTTGGGGCCGCCGAATTTTCTTCTATCTCTACAATATTCACATTTTCCGCAATCTTCTTGTATGCTGCAGCCCGTGCAATTACCGCAAGGGCGTAAACGAGGGGATCCAGACCGCTTTTTAGGGACAAATGTGCTAGATAACTTTTGGTCTTCTCCAAGTCCAGACTGTTCTTCTCGTCCCCAGTATACGCGATTATACACAGCTGAAGTACTTGAATCTGAGGCATTAGGTGATCTAGGAGACGTGTCAGGACCAGGAGAATTAAATTTGCGTATATTTCGAGGCGGTAAATGTAATGTGTTGTCGATTGTATTAGAGCGAGTACCAGTTTCTACAAGAAATAAACGTCTATATAACACACTACCTGAGTTACTGACCGGGGCATCTGAAGGTCTCCGTTTTCCCTTGAACTGTTTACCTGATGAGAATTGGTCTGTATAGGTACTGACATCGTTATTAGGACTTAAACTCGGACGATTTTGCCTTGGTCTCTGACTTCTGGTGTTTTTATATTCGATCTCTAAAGATGGATTCCTACCTACTCGAACAATAGACGAAATTCTCGGACACTTACATCGACATTGAGGACAGTAAAAAGTCTTTATCTGCTCTGCTTGCTTAGGAGTGACATTAATGCAATCTCCGTGATACCATTCCTCGCATTGGTCACATGCTCTATAGACTTATTACCATTCCTATAAATAACTTACATCATGAATCGTTCAGCGTCAGAAGAACGACAGACACAATAAACTTCATCCACATCTTTATCAAACTCCTCATTCACAGTGTTTTTTTTGCCATTGTTCTTACGCCGCTTTTGCATATTTGGTGGTTACTTTGGGGAATCGGTAAGGTCAGCAAACAACTTTGAAGTTTACCACTTATTAAGTATCATACTGCAACACAGCCTATGCAAGAAGTAATCAATAAAACACCATTAAGTGGACAAACTACTTCAATTTCTCCTATTAGCGAAAAGTTTTGATTAAGGCGCCCGTAATGGTCGTCGGCAAATTGAACTAACTACTGCAATTACTCTAGGTTAAAAATATGGTGATATCACAATGATAATCTTTGAATAGAACGAACCAGATAGATGCTTTTAGTACGCGACCGATTCAAGCATTTAAAGAATGCACTGAAGTTGATGGGTAGGTGGTATATAGTTTGTGTATTGCTAACAAATTGGCTCAGTTTACTGGAAAATTCGTTGCCTAAAGACCATGGAAATAGGATCACGAAGTATCTGAAATAATTACCGAGTCGTTTGGATGTATTCCAGATTTCACCTCGATCTCCCTTGGGAGACTATAGATGGCAGATTTCTTCGATTAAACTTCAGTGACATGGATTGATCAAGCAAACTATATTAATCATCAGGGTCAGTACTTCTCTCAATAACCAATCTCTCCTTGAACATAGAAATGTGATGATTAGTTATTTGCATAAAATGCATGAATTCTACATGCCTTCATTAGGAAGTCATGTTACACGATGTCCAACCATAGATTAAAGATATTACGCAGACTCCAACTCGAAAGTTTGGACGTATTGACTCGTTCCAGCGCGACAGTAAATAATTTCATAGATTGATGCTATGTCTGGATTTGTCCGACCCCGAACTTTCTCCGCCTTAACTGAGTGTCAGCGTGCATTGCTCATCGGGATGTCCAATGCATGTCCCGACCACAGTATCACTATTATTTGAAATATGTATATTAGCTTGCGTCCAACTCTAGCAGTACACATTCATTCGTACAACTTCAAAAACAAATCTGATTAAATGTTTGGAGGCCACTCGCATTCTCCAGCTTTAAATGTCATGTTTCACAGACAGTTAGCCTCGTGGGGGAGCGAGGGCCTCCCACCAGCATTCGCCGTCGAACTCTGTCCTGGGCAATCCTTTCCAATTGTTGTTCATCATTTCGGTGCTTGCTTCCAATTCTCGATGCAGTGTGTTCTTCGGCCTTTCCTCTTTTCCTCTTCCCTTCAGAATTCCAAGTTAGCGCTTGCCTCGTGATGCAGATTGGGGATTTCCGTAATGTATGTCATACCCACTTCCAATGTCCTTTCCTAATTTCCTCTTCAGATGGAAGCTGGTTTGTCCTCTCCCATAATAGGCCGTTGCTGATAATATCCGGTTAACGAACATTGAAATCTTGCGTAGACAATTGTTTATAAATACTTGTGCATTTTTGATTACGGTTGTATTAGTTCTCCTAATTCCAGTTCCATACAGTACGACATTTATTCAGATCTTTCTTTGGTGTCTTGGTGAGGTTTCTTTCTTTCCAGTTTGTCTGTCGCATTTGTCCTTCCTCCGAAATCTTCCTGAATAGAACGTGGAGTATGCTCGCAGTTCCTTCTGCGCCTGACTAGAAAGCTTCAGCTGGTATATTGTCAGGTCGTGGTGCTTTCCCACTCTTGATTTGTCTAATAGCCAACCTGCTTTTCCGGGTCGTTGGTGGAGTGACATCCAGAATAAGGTCTGTGTGTTCTCCTTCGATGTTCGGTAGATTATTTGTTTACTTAAACACATCAACATTGGCACGAGGAGGTACCAAATAGATATGCGCCACACTTCATCATTCGATTTGTGTGAGGGCTGGAATACTGCTCGGGTTCTCAAACCGAAGCAGGTGGATGATGCTACTTGCGGCCAAGATGCTCCCTACATGTTAAAGTTTGTGCTTCTCCCACTCATTTCCAAGCCTCGTCCATAGTTATTTTTTTCTTTTTTAGTAATGAAGATGATGATGTTTATTATTATGTCGATACATTCGTGATTGGGATAACCTTCTATGTAAATGCGAAATGATATATGGAGCTGAATTTAATTTAATGAACATACTAAATGACTAGTATTGGACAGATATTAAGCGAACAGTTGATCATGTTTTTTTGCTGAACATAAAGCTTCCCTATTCTTCTTGATAGGTCTCGTTTCAGCCTTCCGAAGGATTATTATTTTCATGGATTTGCTTTTAACACTATATGTTATTGAAAACGATTGTTCACTTTGGCTTTCAATGTAAATTTCTGGTGTCGTTTTAAATTCAACGATTTGCCTCTCAAATTTTACAGGGACTGATATTTTGAAACCTGTGAAGTTTTTTAACTTGTTTAAACGTTAGGAACCGGACAGTTTTCTGAGCTTTCTCAAAAAACATGTAATCATCCATTACGGACATCCCCAACTAATATATTTCGACCCTATTCACTGATAAGAATATAAAACTTACACACATTAAAATGACTTCACTTAATTCCAACACTGTAGATAAACTACTACGTGGGTCCGCACTAGAGCATTTTAATCCAGGACAGTTTGCTTCGGTTTTAAAAGAGGTGATTATTTTATCTGATGCGCGTTGCTGTATTGTACCTCTATCTTCGAATCTGTTCAACTACCACTATCATTACGCGAGATTTCCAGCGTTGACACTAAAACATGTGTAACCAACCGGTTATTCTTTCTCTTCTAGGAGAGAACAGTATGGTTGTTACTTTTTTTTATTATTATATCTTGTATGGAGGAAAATATTCTGCATCTATTAACAAGAAGTGGTGTGCCAATTATAGTTGATCTTCTGACTTTTTCCTTCTTTTTTTACAAGGTCTGGCATCTTCTGAAAAAGCCCTTTTTCTAAGTGTGCTTATAATTATACTGTAAGCGTGCCAGTTTCTCCCGTTTGAGATTTCCTTGAAATGACTGAGCTCTTGGTACTCATTTAACGATATTTCAAATTGTCTTAGACTTAATCCTTTTGAATGTTAACATTGGCCTGTGACATAAAATTAATTAATTTATTCTGTTGAGACCACACTAATTTTGTACATTCCAAGGTCCTGCAATTGAGGCTATGCCAAATTTCTTTCATCTTGGTGTAACTGTTATGTCTTTTAGTCCTAACATATTGAAATCGAACGAAGTTTTTAACGTAACATTTTATACAGTCGATACCTTTTGTAAGTTATCGTTTTCTGCGCCCAATCATTCATTCCAGGGTTTTTGAAAGACTTTATTATGTTGCAAAGAATCCTCAAGTCAGTTGGTAGATGAGGCTTTCGACACCAATATGAGATTACGGTTGCGGATAAACGTTTGAAATCTTTCATACTGGGAAGTGTTGTTTTACCAGATATTAATCACCGATCCCCCTTTTGTATGTTCCCGTAGAACGAGATGCAGATACATTAGAATCCACTTATACGAGAAGAAATAGAAGAGCTTTACTAGTGCCCATAATATTTTGAAGAGCAGGTTGTAAGGCTGAGCTAATCAAAAACCTGCATTCGTAAACATGCTGACAATCCACAGTTGTACGGATTCTTCTTCTCTTACAAAACATTTCATCCAATTCTGGATAATTTTTTTCTTATGTAACGGATGTTTGTATGTAAATGTATTTTGTGTGATATAAGAAGAGATAATGTTGAAATATGGTATCCAAGCTCCATATTGTACTCGTCATATCATACTCAATTATCATATTAAAGCCTGTCTTCTTCGCCCCAGAAAGTGTCTTTGACAGATTATCCGTTGAGAACTGTTTACATTCGACATCGTCTGACAGCTCATACCACATGCCTATGTGGGATTTGTACCGACTGATGATTCCTATATACTTGATTGTGCTCTCATTACGAATCACAAATAGTACGTCCATCTGAGCACATCTAGTTCTACCTTCCTTACATTACACTGAGTTCTAAGTTAGTACATTAATTTAAATTCATTTATTTGTCATACTGGCGTCGCGATGGAGTTAAATCCTGGGCAGTTGGATATTGATTTAAGTGGCGACAAATTCCAGGAATATACGGAGTAGTTCTAAACCTGGTGCATGACAAGAAAAGATATTGATGATAAGTTCACAGTTTATTTTCTGAATCTCATCGGCGGTGAAGCCTACAACTTGCTAAAGAATCTTGCTTTTCCAAATAAACTAATTTCACTAATATCTGAATTGTTCAAGGAGTCACTATTCAGTCATGTGCAGCGCGCTAGATTTGAATGCAGATAGAGATGGGAGTTTCATAAAATCATCAGGTTTGGGACTCTATACGTGAACTGCAGAAACAGGCTGAGAAGCGCGATGTCACTCAAGCTTTCGTTTGAACATCTTCAATTCTAATCAGATCATTATGCCTGCAATTACTGTAAACTGAAATACCATATTCAAGAATGGGTATGATAAATTTTCTGTTCAGTAATAATCTCGATTCGATATTATTGAAGTTTATTACGAATCCAATGAGCTTTTAGCTTTGGATATTTGAGATGCAATGTAATCAAAAAAGTTCAAACTGATGCTATATCTCAAACCCACGTCACGAACCGTGTTGAAAGGTTTCAGTGTGTTTTTGTATGGCCGGATTCGGGTTAAAGCAGTGACGAATGTGAATAAATCCACTTCTGTCAACATACAGTAGCAGGTTCCACGACACAGTTAATTCGTACAATTTGCCTATTTCTTCTTGGACTACCGCTGAAATGTAGCTTCCTTGGGTAGGAGACGAGAGAAAAACTACTTTCAGGTTATCAGTAAGAAGGTTTAACGTTTTGAAAGGAAGCAAACGCCATCAACGTGGAGAAAAAAATGAAACAATTACACTTGCGTGTATAACCCCAGTGGCTACATCCACAGGCTAAGAATAGCAAGATCCAAAGTGAATGATTTGGCGAAGTGATTGTATTACAAATTGCCTGTATGTGTCCAATTTTACAACATTGAGTATTACGGAATACAGATGAATTACAGAAGTGAAGTGTGCCACAGAACGAATATTTACCAAATTTGTGCTCATCTCCGAGATCTGCTTCGCAACTCCTCAATGAATTACCTGCATAACCTTGAGTACGCATTGGAATGGAATGACATGGTAATGTAGCGGGATTGTTGATGTGCCGACGAATCATTTTAGGACAATTCCCTCCTTTACAGCATCCGAAATTCGCACAGGTTACAGAATGTCATTGAGAGTTGAATAATGGAGTGAAATATGCTTTTCCGGAAATACGAAATTTTTCAATAAACTGTAGGCTTCCCCTTCCATAAATATAAAGAAACGAGACACTGTATAGACATCCTCCTTGTTTATAAACCAGATTTCGAACCGTTTCTTATAATACTCAAAACTTGTATGCATGTCCAACTTCCATCACAGGCTCCATCGCGACGCCAATGAGATGATTAGAAGCACTTGAATAAACGCAATTTAGGCCAAGAAGAATTAAGTGAGCATGAACGAACGTATCGAATTTGGAATTCGAAACCAGGCAGACATCAAGTACAAAGGAATCATTAGTCCATTCAAACACCACAGAAACATACATGCTTTTAGTCAGACCTACTGAGTCTGTTGTAAGTAGCCACTGAGATTAGCTCATGATAAACAAGACCACCCACAGTGTTTGTCACGATGCAAACCATAGGCGACCAGAACCTCTAAAAGTGCTTTCAGTGACTTCGATGAAGTTTTAATTTTGAATAAAAGTAACCAAAATGGGACTTTAGAGAGCAAATAACCATGCTAAATGCCGAAAAAGGAAAAGCGATCTACTGAACGCAATGCCAGGGTCAGATTCTTTGGAACAAACCTAATAACTGTTGCTTCAGGAAAGTAAGTTTTAAGACAAACAATATTAACAGAATAATCTCCATTCGTGAACGTACTACAACGCATTACCTGCTGATAAAGAAAATATAAGTGCCGAGATGGTACAAAAAGTCCATGGGCTTATCATCACAGAACCGGTATCTAAATAGATTATGAGGCATTTAGGAAAGAACGGTCTTTGTGCTTCGATAACACAGTACCTATTAGAAGTGGATACGACAAATGGGTTACGTGGCTAACAAACAGCATGGAACTATATTAAGAACCGAATATCCCAACGTAGTTGATCACAAGCACTTCTTTAGAATTCGTGCAAAAGCTATGAGTCACAATCTCAATTCTGATTCATTCACTGAAGGTCGCCAAATTACTATACAAATTTAGACACACGACTTAAGCATAAGACCATGGTTTTATGGAACATGTAAACTATAACGTAACAGCATCGCATTTCAGTCACGTCACTTGGAGATTATGGGCTAGTGAGCCATACCACCAAGAAACTAATCGCTGTCATGTTTGTTCCAAAAGCAGGAAAATTTTTCAACAGACCAAATCTCGACACTTCGGATCATTGTTGAACAATCAATCGTCACTATACACCAAGTTCCCTGACTATGAGAAAGCATTCGGCAGTGTGGATAGACGAACCTTGTGAAACCTCCTTTAGGTACACTATGGTGTACCTGAGAAAATCGTCAACATCATACGGCGTACTACACTGACAAGCAGTGAATGAGGGACAGCTGACAAAACGCATTCCGAGTGAGGGCCAAGGGGGCAGACAAGAATGCCTACTCTCTCTCTTTCTCTTCCTTCTAGTTGTTGACTGGATTATGAAGACCACATCTGAGGAGAAGCACAGAATAGAATGGACAGCTTGTGTTTAACTAGATGGTTTGGACTTCGCTGATCACCTAGCCTTTCTATCCCATACACACGAGCAAATGAAGGTCAAGACAACTAGTGTAGTAGCAGCCTTTATATCAGTAGACCTCGACATACACAAAAGAAAAGCAACATCCTCAAATACAACACCGAGAACACCAACCCAATCACACTTGATGGAAAAGCTCTGGAATCTTCCACGTATCTGGGAAGCATCATCGATGAACAAGGAGGATCTGATGCAGATGTAAAGGCAAGGATTGGCAAAACAAGGACAGCATTCCTACAGTTGAAGAACACATGGAACACAAAGCAAATGTTTGCAAGCCAATATCAAAGTCAGAATCTTCAATGCGAACATCAAGACAGTTCTACTGTATGGAGCTGGAATTAGGAGAACTAATACAACCGTAATCAAAAATGCACAAGTATTTATAAACAATTGTCTACGCAAGATTTCAATGTTCGTTAACCGGATATTATCAGCAACGGCCTATTATGGGAGAGGACAAACCAGCTTCCATCTGAAGAGGAAATTAGGAAAGGACATTGGAAGTGGGTATGACATACATTACGGAAATCCCCAATCTGCATCACGAGGCAAGCGCTAACTTGGAATTCTGAAGGGAAGAGGAAAAGAGGAAAGGCCGAAGAACACACTGCATCGAGAATTGGAAGCAAGCACCGAAATGATGAACAACAATTGGAAAGGATTGCCCAGGACAGGGTTGGGTGAAGTGTTCTGGAGTGTGTAATATGCTTCTCCGCGAAGAGTAAAAGGTGAATGTTTTGCTACATAAACAAAAGTCACCTAGAGTTCATACACACCTTAAAGTATTGTATTTTTTAGGGAAAAAGAACGAAGACTCAAAACTATTTATATTGTGCAACGACGTGTTTCTCTTTATCAGGAATAAATGGAAGATCATTTTTATTAAATATACGAGTATTTCTTTCCTTGCGCCTTTCTTTCGCTCTGATTATTGCATGTTCTTTACTGGAGGCGTGAATCGTTTTTGGCAGATGACGATGTTTTAGAATTTTCCGGACTTCTGGATGGTCTTTGAATTTCTCTCGTAAAGATTCACATGTCTGTAGGGATGCTTTTTGTCTTGGCTGAATCTAAGCAGAATAAAATGTAATGAGTAAGGTGAAGAAAAATACCGGTCCAATAATTTCGTTAGCGTGAGCTTTCCATAGTCGGACGTTTTGATCTGATGATGATGACAGAACAAACTTCGCATCTAGTGTCACCTTGACAACAAGCACACGCTTCATGCGTCTAGTGTGATAAACATCAAATGATTCTGTAGAATCACACTTCCAAAGTCGAATCTGGAGAAATAAAGTCAGAAAACATGTATACTTACTGTTGAGTCGTAGCTTCCAGTTACAAATTCTCTTCCAGTTGGTGAATAGTCTACATCAAGTACAGCATTTACGTGACCACGGTGAACTCTGCGAGGGAATTTGAAGAAACGATTGTCGAATGTATAAACATTATAGTCTTCGGATGCAGCAGTGAATATGAATGGTTCCATCGGATTCCATGAAAATGCATTTAATTTCAAATCCATTTTGACCTGAAACACGAATAACATGAAATTAAAATGTTACGGTTTTAGTGAAAGCAAACACTTATTTCAACTCTAAGACGAGATACAGTATCATCATTTCAAATGAAAAATACGTATAAACTAACCTGAAGTATACGGAAGCTCTGTTAGAAATTAACACCGACCTTGGATCGAAATATTAGAAACACCACTTTATAATAATATATCTTTTGAACTCATGTTTACTTAGCTTTTTTGATCAACATGATGACAGATACAGGAGATTTGTTAATCTCCAAATATTTCATGAGCCAAGATCAAAAACAGACGACAATCTCCATGTAATATATAAGAATTAAGCTGAGTTACTGAAAGATGAGTACCTCCTATGATCCAGGCTATTCAGCTACTCAAAACGATCGATATGCAAATCTACATTGTGTTTGACAAAACTCGGAAGTAATTTATACGAAATGAGTTCTATAAATGTAAGGAGGACCTCTTTTATCGTTTCGCAATAAGATAAAACATATAAAGACATGCATATTAGTAAGAGCTTTAACATTTTTGAAGAATCAAAACAAGTCAAAATAAGATTTCAATGGGTGAGATCATGAGTCAATCGAAGCTAAACCACCAAAGAAAGCCTGGATGGCCGTTTCGTCCCACTGTGGGACTCCTCAGCAGTGTGCATCTACGATCCTGCCCCGCGAGGTTCGAGCCCAAGATTTGTCAGTCTTGTGATTTGCTTGTAGTCTTCCTGATCTAAAATGTATAATCCTAAGAGGTGACACTCATTTGATTCCAAACGACAATGCCCCGTGGAACTTTAGAGTTTTATGTACAGATGCAGTCACTATGTTATTTGATTGCAACCATGTGGTTTACACTTCTGAACTATAATTTACTTTTCTTCTAAAATAACCAGAGTGAGATATGAAACTCATTGTGTACTGGTGTTAAGTTTTAAACAAGTACGAAACACTAGTACATACCACATGACCTTATTAAGTTTTTCGCATTGTTGGTGAACCGAAGACAAAACGGAACATCAGGTATGCAACCCAGGATGATGCAAACGGAGGTATAGTCTTAAAAAGGACGAAATACATAAAAAAGAACTACGCTTCAATAAATTACTGCATTTTGTGGAAATACAATCTTTTGTTTACGTCAACCAATCATCAATTAAGCAACTGAGATAAAGACTATAAGTAGTGAGATTTTCTAGCTTAGTAAAATTAAACATTTAACTGGTAGTTCAGAAGTAATATCTAAACAGGTTATAGGTGTTTATTTCGCAACGACATGACATTTGATTGGTAAAACAGAAAATGAGGAGACAAATTATTTTTAAACAACTATAAAACACTAACTAAATAAAATTTAAGTTCACTTAGCAACTAAATTTGACTATGGGAGAACAAAACTAATAACTTAGTTCGAGTCGGGCTACATAACTCAGGCATCTGTTTTAGTTGTGATAAGTATCAACCATCAAAATTCAATTCGGTAACCGAAATTTCCATTTGCAATCATTAAATAAAGTAAGTCCATCTACAAAAATATTTACAAAAAGTACAATTTTTGATTAGACCCTTGTTGAACATTTGGGATTAATAGTGTGAAAAACTATTGATTTAGACCTTGAAAACTTAAAATGAAGTTATTGTTTATTTTATTCAAACACATAAACATTGGTATAAGGAAGCACCGAATAGGTATGCGCCACACAAGTCACTTGATTTGTGTGTGAGCTATGATATTCCCTGCGTGCCCAAACCAAAGCAGGTGATTTTCTTAGAGGACTGCATCCGGACTATCGACTTAAAGGTCTGATCCACCATGAAGTGGAGTAACGTAAGGAGATGCAGTCCCGTGGTAGCCGTGGACCAAGAATTAGTTCATATGCCATTTGTTCCCTCAAGATTCTGGAGCCCATGTGCACCATTGGTTTGGAATCAGGGTTTTCCAAATCCCCTAGGTGGACCCTCCATATCCACTAACCCGGTTAAAGTGCCGGACGTTTGCAATCTCAAACAGCATTAGTAGTTTGATATATATGAGTGGGTACACATACGTGCAGATTCGGTTTAGTTCATAGAGGTTTCCAACTCTTAGTCTTTTCACTTGAGTGGCTGATCGGAAAGGTTGGATATCAGTATCAACTCTCGGATATTGTATGTCACAACAATAATTTAGTGTTGTAGTCACCTATTAAGTTGTTTCATGATTCTGATGGAGGAGCCTAATCTACAAGAGTAACTATGCAAGATTTTATAATCGACTAGAATAAAAAACTTATATAGATATTTAATCACCTTGCGAACAGGTTGATCCTGTCTACAGTCGATTAGCATTAATGAATTATCTTTGGTTAAAGCACATGCAATATTATGTTCGACTGGATTGAACTTGGCATTATGAACCGGCTCTTGACCCCAACTCCATTCACGCAACGGTACATCAAGCCTAACTGAAGAGTATAGCAGACATGACTCTGGACCACCAATAAGAAACTCATTTGATGAAGGATGATGATCCATACAATGAGGAGTCCATTTCATCAAAACACTACTCAGTGGTTGTTTCCAACATGATACAATATCATCATAATTCATCCGCCATTGTTTGAGTTGACCATCTAGACTACACTATAATAAAAATAATAAAAAATGGACTAATAATTAATCAGATTGTTTCATAAGATATGAGATGAATTTAGTTTTCTGTACGAAAATTCTATAATGCTTGGTGAGCATATACCCACACGTTTAATATAGACAATCGTTGATAAAGAAATTGATTTGGGATAGATATGTATGTAAGTGAATAGCAAAACTGAAAAACAATATTGTGAATAACTTAATTTGCACGTTAATGATCAAGAGCTATAAAAATAGTAATCATTACATTCTAATCGGATTTGACTAGCTCCACTTTAAAGTATTAACCCTTTTACATAATTTAACGTTATCTATATGTTTACTTTGTGGGTCCCTTTATTTTGTTGTCATTTAGATCGGACGATGTTGTCGAAAGGGCTCTCCACTTTAGTGGCCCGAGATCTGACTCCAATTAGATTGCATAAATGTTTGTTATCGCCTATCCTCGTATATAATCATCGACTCAAATCGCGTTCGTCAATAGCGGAATTAAATAAGTCAAATAACGAGAGTGGACTTTTGAATACATATATTTTGTATATGCAGCGAATAGAATAGAGAGAAGCGAAACGACGCGCAGTGGAGATGGCGGGTAAGTCAACTCCCCTTTAATCAAGCGTTAATCAACATTTGTAGGCACACAAAAATAAGTTACAGACATGTGATGAGTAATGGGATAAGTAGAGCACACACATATGCGCTCATATAAAAACAGTCAAGATTGATAAGCAGATAGTAAACAAGGTCAAAATGTGACTCAGGTAGAATGAATAGATTGGGCTGTCCGAAAGCGAGAATAAGATATACGGGCTTAACATAATAATCGACGATACAACTTATACTAAACTTAAGTAGCCCTTATACCGTATAAAAAGTGAAGTAAAGACTACAAAGGTTAGGCGGTTGATTATCATAGATTCTGATTTGCCTATGTTTAATGAATATTATATATTTAACTAAAACATTTACTACTGAAAAGCTACTGCAAAGTGTTATATCAGTAGACCTATTTCAGTTAGAAATTCCATCAACTAGCAAATAATACAACAGAAACATGTATGATTTTACTGCATCAACAATATATCACTAGCAGGAGGATGAACTGGCAAACTCCTTTACAAAAAAAATTAGCCGAGTCAGTGATCTATGCAAAAAAACTGTTATCACTTGTATTTTCGTGCCCATGGTTCTTTGTTCTTCACCCCACCGCCAATTGTCATAACTTGTGACCTGTGTGCCCTGTTAATGTAAGTTATGATACCGCCAATTAGAGAACAGTAACTTAGCGATCGGACCAATGACGCATGAAACCTGTACGAGCAGTCTAAAATACCTAACGTTCCTGCTTCCTGCCTAGCCGAGTCTGTTAAGTCTATAACACCAATATCAGCCTCTGCGATATGAATCGTTTATTTTAAATATACTCAGTTTATATACCAACCAGACACACCACATCGTACCATAAAATGGGAAACGACATTTGTACAAGATTTAGCCAAATGTGGATATGAATGAGGGAGATAGTAATTGATAGACAGAGCATAACTCAATAATGGTAAATAGTATAATAATAATAATAATAATAATAATAATAATAATAATAATAATAATAATAATAATAATAATAATAATAATAATAATTCATAGGTCAAAATAAAGCTTATGATAAGAGGAACACGAATATGAATAGTTTAGTTACTCAACAATTATACGGTAAAAGTATAGACATAGTATTGGTCCATAAATGGATCCCAAAAGTTGCCATTCACTATTCTTACCAGGATATAACAAAAACAATCTCTGAAAGACAACACAGTTTTACATATATATAAAGAAATGGGGAACAAAGTGAAAGAGAAAAACAAGCTGACTCACTTTTAGTTATCTCTAGATAACCATCTAACAATAATTCGTACCGCCTAGATCGGAGATGCTTTTAGTAACTAGGTTGATATTAGTCTACAGATTTAGAATTTCGTCCGTAGACCGAAACTAGTAAATCAACTAACGTGATTTCCGAAGCATCGATTTGGATAGTACTTGTTACTTATTTTTGTGAGGTGAAAAGCAATGTAAATAGGTTATATTTAGCTTAGAGTACCAACACCAATTTTTCACTATTGGTAAAGGCTCTTAGTAAGCCCATTGAACTGTACTTTAGACAATTAACCCACTATGTAAAATTGTGTGAACCTGATTGAACGCAAGCCTGTACATCAATCTTTATCTATTCTCCGATTGGTTGTAAGCACGGACAATAAATAGTTTACCCACAATCGACTAACACTCATAAATATATATGGATTTTTAACACTCACAAGAACATACACACACAGTAGTTCCCCTGTGTGCTTGCTTCCTGCGCGCTTGCGGATTTTATCAATTATTAACACTGCACTATTTCTACAACTGGTGTTCTGGCTTTTGAATAATCTGGAGTAACTTCAAGAGATTTGGCCTGCGTAACTTCTCAGTAAACGGGATATTATTTGAGCTAGATATAGAGAGATTTATCTCTATAGCCTTTACGTAGAAATATATTTGCATACACATATACTTTGTTTTGATAGTGATGTACAAAATAATCAATGGGTCCGACAATTCTAAAGATAATGAGCAGAGTTATTAAAGTTGTTTAGCTCTGTGATTGTGAAATAACTTACAAGCAATTATTGGCCTACTTAACATGACAAGACTTCAGAAAAGAAATGTTTTGTTCATCATAGCTCGACTGGGTTATGATGATAGGTAGGTCCAACCGATGGTCAACATAACAACTATGGTTGGGTTGTTAAAAAAATGATCTGTATGAATGTAGAAATATGGATTACGATAAGTTGTGATGACAACTATCTTGCAGATTGATTAAGAAGTTTATTTATGCACTCGCTGCTAATCCCAGTGTTTGCTACTGAGAAGAGGATTTCAAGTGAAGAACCCGTCAGATACATTATTTGACCAGTTAACTGAAATGCCAAAATATCAATTTAACAGATTCTTTTGGCATTAACATATGAAATAATTAAAAGGAAACAATGAGGTTGACAGAATGATGCAGCTTGTATAGACCAGAATACCTACTTTTAAAAAGGATCGGGTAGAAACAAATGTGTTGATACATTCACACAGTACTTCATTGGTAACGATTTAATCCCATCAAAGCGTGTGAAAAAAAGGTACACAGTAATAAAGGAGAACATCGAAAAGGAAAGAACGAGGAACAATTAGCAGTCCGTTTTATAACAATTTAACGTGATAATGAGAAAAGTTTCAAGCGACAGAAAACGTAGTGAGTATAACCGAATATATAAAATAAGCTAGTATATATTTATTGTGAAATTACTTCGTTGGATTTCAAAATGATATAAGTATATAAAAATGTGACGGGCTACATACCAGGCTGTATGTTTATATGCCTTATAGAAATTGTATTAAGAAGTGGTTGGGACGAAATTCGGCAATATAATACGGTGAAGTGTAGGTTATGCTGTTGTACACTGTACGAAATTATTAAAAATTAGCCGGCGGATACAGACAAAGCTAGGGTAGATGGGAAAAATAGCCGTAAAGTAAAATACTGAGCAGCTTTAACAACAGGATCGATATTGTAACTACGGTATCTTCCTGTTTATTATTGTAATGTCAGTTCAACTTCCGGCTGCGATCCGGATGAAATAAACAATTCGGAACATACGACATGACCATCAGGGGCCTTTACCAAGTCCAAGTTTACTAGAAGCACTGACTCTTCTGTCTGAATATAAGACAATCATAAGAGACGGATACTTCTTTTTGCATAACAGTGCACCAAGTGAGAAACGAACTTCAACATTTTCTATTTCTTGGAATGTGGAATTATTGCAGTACTGTCCTCATTGGTAAATGTATGGAATATTTAATATCTCGCAATCGTTTTTACCCGCGTTTACATGATTCATACTGTGAAATTCAGCATAGTTACCCCATTTATCTATATTTTAATGGACAACTATAGTACTAATTCGCATGTGCGCGCCTTCAAGATGAATGAATCGAGCTTAGCTTTATATTTCCAAACTATCATGACTGGTTAGGAATATTCAACTTTATTAGTATTTCGACAAGTATATCTAAGTCCAGAACAACAATGTTCTTTGTGCCGTCTGCGTCAATGGATACAGTGGAGTCCACAGTAATCAACAAACCCTCAATTTGCAAAAATGTAGCATGGGGAATCTCCAGTTCTGTTATGAAAGATCTTACTGAAACAAACAGTGAGGTGGGGGTATTATAGAGTCTTAAACAAACTTATGGTGACGGTCATCCAAACATATGGAAATACATTGTTCTTAATGAGGAACAGAACCTAAAAGGAATGAAGATTGAGTTTGGCGAAGGGACGCAGAAACAGGACGTGAAGAAGGAGCACAAGCATGTATTAAACTGGTTGTAGAAATTTGTGCAAGCAGATCGATACTAAAATATTTACGCGGAAAATAACGTAACTCTAATCTGCATATTTGGATACATTAAACTGCTCTAAAAGTTAAAATGTGTAAGTAGAATTAATATATGTATTACATGAATAGACCGCCGAACTGATGCTTGCTCACGATTTATAATATTTAGTTAATGTACTAATGGGGTTATTTTATCATATTAAATCGCTCTTATTGATGTGAAACCCTGTTGGAGGATACAATTTGAGACAGGAAATTAATTACTATTTGGTCGGAGTATACAAATATATCAGTCGGAAATAACCTTAATAATTTTTACTTCTCAGTTCATACATATCTGAGCTAAAATACAATATATTTAAATAACTAGCTGAGTGAAATCACCGATAGTGAAACAAGGTGACCTCGTAACGCTGAAGTAATGAAATCTGATAACTTTATAAACTAAATAGAACTGCATTAATTTGAATTGTTCGTTTTCCACGGGAAACGGCACAAAAGCGATTAGGCAGTGAGAAAGTGGCAAAAATGACTGAGGTTATTACTTATTTGAAATAAAGTGCCAGGATGCTGTTTTCAGTTTAAAAAGATCAATTCAAGAATGAATATGTCAACTAAATGGCGCGTACGCTGATTAGCGACTTGGCTCATTCTACTTTGTATAGGCGAAACGTAGCATTTAGAGTAGGCGGTATTGTAGGTTATTAGTATTCGGTCACAAATGCTTTAGAGGCATTGCCTATATGTGTTTAGACGACTGAATAATCAATCCCGGGGTTAGACGCAGGGTACTAAACAAAATTACCAAATCGGCAGATAAGATTGCGGATCGTTATCGACTGATAGGTATTAAGTATGATCAAGTATTGCCTACCTTGCCGAGTAATGTTGGTTGGAAGAGAACTATGGGGCAGCCAGTAAACGACATTATCAGTCAATGCAGTCACTGACTATTAGAGTGAGAAGTGATGGGAGGTATAGACTACTTAGTCGTAGTTCATATGATAGTTGAAACTACTGGTTTGAGACGTTGAATAAGATGGTTCTGAATTTTTAGTAATGAAACAGGTGCATCCAGTGTTCTATCAATAATTTTCACCCTTTAGAATCACATTCTCTATGTCTAGTTTTATCACCGTCATTGATGCTACTTTGAACTTTACCTGATTTCATCTCATAGTGCTGAACTGGCATGGTAATATGGATTGATGCATATGTGACAATTTTCAAGTTATCACTGACAGGCCGGTTGAGCCATAACACTGTAAGCTAGTGATAATACTGATGATTTAGTGTCTATAATATTATACACTACAAGTACAAAATGTCACATCAGAATAAGTCGATGAAGATCTGGAATCTCTGATACTCATTGTATTTACCTTTAACAACAAAGATTTCCCTGGGTTATCGATATACACCCCTAAAGTATTGTGTGATAGTAACGAATATTCTTGCTAAGTATTGGAGACGAAGTTAAGAAACTTTGGAAATCTCCCATTGAATTACTAAGGCATATGATGGCGAAGCAATGGAAGTAGGAATGGAAAGTTTCATGTTTAAAAAGAAGGAAAATGAACTTAATTATTGCCGCTCGCTAATAAATCTTATTTTCAACACTCCAATGTGTGGGATCCCACGGAAGTAAATAATTCAGAGCATTTTTAAGATACTGTTTTCCACAGAACATGAATTGATGTTATGATTAGAGGTAAGCGATATGAGATTTTTAATGAGTTATTTCGAGCTGATGGCTTTTACTTTTCAATATCACAAAACGTGAGTACACAAAATATGCTTTTTAGATTTTTCAAAAAAAGATTTTATAACATGTTCTAGTATTTTTGAGATGAACTAGGAGACTTAATAGATGTCTATGGAGCTGTTGAGAAGCGAGTGTAGTTTCGACATTTGAGAAATGTCATAATTCAACTTAAATGAACATACCATTGAATGTTAACTTTGACACAGATATTCTAGATGATAGGCGTACAAAATATTTTACCTCATAAGTACCCAATCACCCTACTTTGATGAATTTCCACAGATTTGGGCAAACTTTGGAGGTGTTGTGATACTTTATCTACATTTTTTACAGTGGCTTTCCCAAAAACGGACAAAATTTTCCCCAAAATAGGGAGATTGATTAACTTTTAGATAATCAAATTAATAACTTACAGTGTAAATCAGCCGAGACCTGTTGGAGTGGCAGATTCCTCGAACTTCGCTTTCATGTGCAATAACCTCAACAACTTTATTTCTTTTTGATACGTTCCAGAATTGGACCTAAATGTACTAGTTGCAACAAAATGGTGAGGTACGAACCTTCCCATCAGCTGTTCCAAAAGTTGCCATGCCCAAAGTCTCTGTATTTAGAGAAATACTTGTGACCCTTTCGGTTGATCCTTCAAGTGCTCCTATAAAGGGTTTGCCCATCATCTTTCCGAGCTTAGCAGCGTTAATTGCTCTGACATATTCTCTTTCACACGAAAATGGATGTTCTGCCGCGCTGTGGTTTCTAGGAACTATGATTTCATTTGCTGATGTTAGACTTTCGTACTTTTAAATATATCATCGGCAGTTTCCCTGCGAAAATCAGAAGGGTTGCGTGAGAGTAAGCGAACCTTCATATTCAAATATTTGCCAAGGTTTGGGCCACTCATTAATCAATTTCAGATTCAGATCCAGATTTGTGTAGTAAGTACAGAAGGCCTACGGCCTATGTTATTCCTTTTCTAGCGTGCTTCTGTGAATGTCCAGTCTTCTCTTGAAAGAGTCAATTGAAGGTGCGGACACCACTGCTTCAGGTAGCAGGTTACTCGGTGTGAAAACCTGTATGCCACGGGTATTTTGTTCGTTCTTGGCTTTTCTACTCGCCTGCCATGTCCCGATCTAGTGGGAAGAAAGAGAGAATAAGTTAGGTCCGAACTCGTTTCTCAGTATTCTGTATATCAAAATTAGATCTCCCCTTAATCTGCGATAGGACAGAGTAAAGAGGTTCAGTTTTTCAAGCCGCTCTTTGTATGATAAACCCCGGAGTTCCGGAAATGCACGCGTAGCTGCCCTCTGCACTTTTTCTAGTATGTCTGAGTCACCTTTTATACAGGGGCTTGCAGCCTGAACGCAGTTCTCTAACTTAGTTCTCACTAAGGATGTGTATAATGTGGTGAACATGGTAGTATCAAGCTTAGTGAATGTCCTTTTTAAAGCCCAGAGGGTTCGAAACCCCTTAACTGCGACCTCCCGGCAATGAGCCGCCGTCTTAAGATCATTGCTCACTGTCACCCCTAGATCCTTATGAGACCGGACTACGGGTAATGACACATCCCCTATGTTGTACGTTTCAACCTTTGAATCCCCCAAGTGCATGTAGACACACTTTTCCGAGTTGATAGGCATCAGCCACTCTTTAGACCAGTTTATCATATTATTTAAGTCCGCCTGAAGAGTAAATGCGTCTTTGTCTCCAGTTATTACTCACCAAATTTTTACATCGTCAGCGTATAATAACATTGGAGACTGTACTATACTTGTAAGATCATTAACGTACATTATAAAAAGTAAAGGACCTAGGACGGAACCTTGGGGTACTGGTCTCCAGATGGAGCACTTGGAATTTATTCTTACTTTTTGCCTACGACCTACTAGGAAATCCTTAATCCATTTTAAAAGAGGTCCGGCAATACCAAGGTTTTCCAACTTCAATAGCAGTCTACTAGTTGGCACCTTCTCAACAGCCTTACAGAAATCTATGTAGACAACATCCATTGAGTTTCCGTTGTTTAGCGCATTAATCCAGAACTCCCTAGCCATAAGGAGGTTCGTTGTACAGGATAGACCCTTTCTAAAACCATGTTGTGCCATGTTCAGCAAGTTATTGGTTTCCATAAATGCAGTTATGGTCCGTTTGACTATTCTTTCCAATATTTTAGTTACACTGCTGGTGAGGCTTACGGGTCTGTAATTTGATGGAACTTGTCGTGGACCTGTTTTATGTATCGGAGTGACGATTGCGTTCTTCCAGTCCATAGGCAACACACCTTGGTCAAGTGACATTTTGAATATCACAGTCAGTGGGGCTGCGATATATTGGGCAATATGTCTCAAGATTTTAGGGTATAGTTCATCTGGTCCTGTTGAATTCTCCATGTTTAGGGTTCTAGGAGCCTTAAGCACATCGTTTTGGTCGAAGTCCACGGTGAGCAGCTGGTTTGTTGACTCTGTATTTGGGTCTGGTTCATTCTCTAGAGGAGGTTCCTGAGTGAAAACTGCCCCAAAATAGTCAGCCATAACCTCTGCTTTTTCCTGATCTTCCTCTGTCATTTCAGATTCACTTCCTACTTTAATTAGGTTGGGAATCCAATGATGCATCCTTGTTCTGTAGTTTATGTACGAGGATATTCTCTTGGGCTGCTTGAGTGAAGATTGTGCCAGCTGCATTTCATATTTTCTTTGAGCTTCCCGAATTTTTGTTATACACTCGTTTCTTATCGATCTGTAGCGTTCCATCGTACCTGCTGTGCCAAGGCGGATGGCAACATCCTAGCATTTCTTCTGTCTTAGTAAGCGTCAAATATCCCGCCCTATCCAGGGATGTCCGTGCTTCTTTTTCTTTGGGACAGTCCAGGGTATGTATGGTTGAGTTACCCGATTGCATAACTGCCTGAATAGAGTCCATGCCTCTTGTACTGATGCCTTTGAGTCCATTTCCCAGTTCTCAGCCGATGCTGCGGAGTTAATTGCCTGCATATCTGCCTTCCGTGTGTTAGGACGGGCCGGCGCAACTGTTTGACAAGCAATCTCAGCCATGAATTTGAATAAGATGACTGCATGGTCACTTCTCCCAAGTGGTGGGAGAAAAGCCATTTGACCAACGTCATCACCGTGTGTGAAGACTAAATCTAAAAGAGAAGAAGAGTTTCTTAAGTTGTATCTTGTGGGATCTCTAATATGTTGGAATAATGCTAGTTCAATCGAGGTTTCTAACAGTTTGCAGTCGAACAACGATATGGATGACCCTACTTCTAAGTTAACCCAGTTTATATATGGTGCATTAAAGTCGCCTACTACAAGGCCTTTACCGTTGTTACACCAGAACTTAAGTTTACTTAGGAGAAAATCATCTGCTACACATTCTGGACTGCGATAAACTACAACTACTTCAATATTTTGCCGTCGGCATTTCAACTTACATCTCACCAGTTCACATGTGCTACTCTCTCAGCTAATCTTATGGTTAGGGTACTTTTCGTGTACAGAATAACCCCGCCTCCCCTTCGGTTTAATCTATCAGCCCTACTGGTTATGAAACCAATCAACTGGATTTCACTATCTAATACTTCTGACGTTAACCAAGTTTCCGAGACAGCAATAACGTCCGGTTTTTCTTTATCCACCACTAACTTCAGCTCCGCCATTTCATTTAGTAGGCTGCGAGCATTTGTGTAGCACACTTTTAAGTCTGTGGAGAGCTTTCCCTTGCCACCCAGAGTGGCTTGGGGATCGTTTTGCTCCGAACTTTTACAATCTGAAAACCCTTAAGAACGAGGTTTCTTTCACCGTTTCGGCGACGCTCGTTTATTTCCGCTTCTTCAGCTCTTCTCTTAATACGATCAGCTAGGCTGAGATCTTCACGGACATATATTCCGGATCCAATCAGTTTACGTGAATTACTTAGAATCAGGTTCCTTTTTTCCACCGTGTTGAATGTAACCTTTAGGAGGCGGTTTTTCTGAGGACTTTCGGAATCCACCTGTTTTCATATTCTATAAAGCTTACAAATACTAACGCCTAAAACTGTATCTGGGAGTAGTTTACTTATTGATGTCTTAATATCATTGAGATCATGTTCAAATCTTGCCTTTGGTTCTGTATCTGAAGATTCTCTTATCTTATCAAAAATGACTGATCGCTCAGAGAGATCTATCTTGTCGCGCAGTGAGGATTTTTCTTCTGATAACATCCCTTCCAATGCCTTGCTGACCAGCTGCGTTTTACCCACAGCCTTTTTCTTCCCATTTCTTTTTCTTCTTACTAAAGTCCATTCTTTGCACATCCTTTTTTAGTCTGTTTTAATCCTTGCTGCTTGTTTTCCAATGAAATGCCAGCCTCTCCTTGGAAATATTCTCTGATTTGACAGATGCTGCTTGTTCGAGTAAGGTGTCCCAGACATCAACTGCTCGATAAGATAGGCGAAAGCTCAGTCTTCAGTAATAAGGATAGGAGGTCTATCGACCTAGATTGATCCTTGCAGTTTGTAATACTGTGGAGGTCAGATATCGTTTTAAATATATTAACAGAACGTGCTGATGTTACGTGTTCTGGTAGAGAATTCCAGTAATTCACTACTCGGTGCGAGAAACGAAACTCCAGATGTAAAAGATTTGATCTCGGTTTTTGGACTTTCTTCAAATGTCCTCTCAAATGATCGGTCCTAGACGGAAGTAAGAGATAAGACATGTTAATGCCAAGGTCGTCGTTCAGTATACGATAAGCCAATACTAGATCAGCCCGTACTCTACGGTAAGATAACGGAAATAAGTTAAGGTGTCTCAGTCTGTCTTCATAAGATAGGTCAGGTAGACCTTACAGTGACTATTGGTATCGAGATCACTGCTTAATATGACTTCTAAATCATTAAAGTTCCTTACTTTGGGTAGCACGAATCCACATATCGTATAGTGACACGATTCAACATAGTTATTTATTTGCATCACTACACTCTTATTAGGATTTACTTCTAGTGGCCACCTGTCCGACCATGTCACCAATGAGCTAAGATCATCATCATCATCATACCATCCTATCTGACATACTGTGTATGGGTCTCCAAATTTTTATGTCATCAGCGAAGATTAGAATGGATGATTTTGCTATAGTTGGCAATTCATTCACATAAAGTAAAAAGAGAAGAGGACCTAGGATCGTACCTTGGGGAACTCCACATTTTACAGGTACCCACGAGAAGAGAGCCCCATTAACCCTTACCCTTTGTCTCCTGTCATGGAGAAAGTTACTTATCCAATCTACGACTGTATAATGGATTCCAAAACGTTCCAGTTTGAATTTAAGACCAGAGTGGGAGATCTTATCGAAGGCCTTACTTAGATCTATGGAGATCACATCCACAGGAATATTCCGATCTTTTGCAGCATCCCAATCTTCTCATGCCATGAGAAGATCTGTCAAGGCCCCTCCGAAAACCATGTTGTTCCCTGGAGAAAAGACTATGCCCTTCAACATAGTTTATAACAAATATCCGAATGATTTTTTCCATCAGTTTTACAACTGCACTAGTTAAGCTAACGGGCCTATAGTTACTAACTAAATCCCTACTCCCAGCCTTATACACCGGACTTATTATAGCGTCTTCCCAGTCTCTGGGCAGCCTGGGCTGCCTGAGAGACATGTCAACCAGTATTGCTAACTGTTCAGGAATTACATCTGATATGGCTTTCATAGTCCTAGGATGAATATCACCAGGACCACTGGACTTATCAGATTTGAGATGCTGAAGTAACTTAAAGCAGTGCCTTTCCCAATCACCACAGGGTCCATCAGCGAGCCGCCGCAATCACAATGAATCGTTGGTCGTTCTTCATTACCGCCAGAAAACACTTTACTGAAGTATCCCGATAAAGTTTCAACTTTTT